ACTGATGAACCCATGTTGGTTGCCCCTAAGCATGCAGTCCCCTGCTGGCCCGTCCTGGATGTGGGGAAAGTTCAGGGTAGGAGAAGGTAATAAGTGTGGGGAGAGGGAGAGAGGCTTTGGACGACTCACTTAGCCTCCCTGTTTGTCAGTCTCCTCGTTCCCAAAAGAAGGATAACAAGTGCATGAGATTTAATTACTTACAGGTTGCAAACTATCCTGTGGTCATCATGAAAGGCATAACGGAGTTCTGTCGTCAGTGGTACCTCCATCAAAAATGCCATTCAAACGGCAGGCACCAGTCAAGAGACAAGGGAAAGAGAAAAGGGCTAAACTTGTGGCAGAGAGCTGTAACCAACAGTTTCAGATTGGAAGGAAGCAGGAATAGAGAGTGAGAAGTTGACTGCAAGTGTATGTGATAGGATTGGGGTGAGAGGAGATGCACAAGTACTCTCAGTAAGCCTGGAGATGTCAGTGCTGAGAGATGGTGTCTGATCCTTTGCTTACCCAGGATTTGCTGCTTTTTAGAGTGATATGGCAGTGTTACGTTTGTATTTTGTCTTTGCAGGAGCAAGTCACAATCTGAAATCAGCTTGGAGGGGTTTTATGAGACCAAGCCCCTTTCTTCTGTGCAGAAGGACCCTGTAGAGCTTCTGCTCCTAGATACCAAGGAGCGCCTGTCTGTGGAGCTGCAGGATCGCCGTGCTCCTCTGGCCACCATGGAGAGTCTGTCTGATAATGAGTCCATCTACAGCTTTGATTCACGGCGCTCCTCAGGCTTCCGGAGCATCCGTGGCTCCCCCAGTCTCCATGCTGTCATGGAGAAGGATGAGACGCACTGTTTTTATATAGACCCCGTTATCCCTGAGGAGAACCCCTCCCTCAGCTCGAGGACAGAGCTGCTTGCTGCTGACAGCCTCTCCAAACATTCGCAGGAGACGCAGCCCCCTGAGACCTTGCATAACAGTGGTGGCACTACCCCCCAGCGACGCTGCAGTGAGGAAGGGGCTGGCAGCGAAGGGGACAGAATTTCCTTTACAGGCCAAGAGGAACTGTCCCTCCAAAATGGACGGCTTCCTGATGTGCCCAGTCCACAAGTGCTGGAGTTTGCTGAGTTTATAGACAGCCTCTTCAATCTGGACAGCAAAAGCAGCTCCTTCCAGGACATCTATTGCATGATGGTATCGGACAGCTCCAATGACTTTGCAGAGATGCCTAAGTCTGTCAGTGATCAGGAGATCCTGCTGAGAGCACAGTATGAGCCCAACCTGGTCCCCAAGCCCCCTAGGTTGTTCGCAGGCTCAACTGATCCCTCTTCAGGCATCTCAGTCTCACCCTCCTTCCCTCTGAGTTCATCTGGAGAACTTATGGACATTACTCCCACAGGCATGAGCAGCCAGGAATGCCTGGCCACTGACAAAATCCGGACTTCCACCCCGTCTGGTCACATGATGAGCCCCACCAAGCAGGAGGACCTCATGATCTCAGCCCTCTAGTGCAGGAGAGGAGGGGGAGGCTCTGAGAGCCAATCCTGTCAACTGAATGCTGGGATAACACTTGGAGGAGCTGGTCGTTGGGCAGTTCAGGATCAGGGGAGACACCTGGAAACATTCCTTTGGGGTGCTAGGCCAGTGGCACTCTGCTGTCAGAAGGATGGAGTCCGCGCCTTGGTCATGCGTTTATGTTTGGGAGAAGATGCGCTGCCTGGCAAAGCCTGCTACACTAAGAGGGTCTCATTCACTGAAGTTAGATGTTTGGTTTCCCTACCTCAGTCCATCTGATTAAATCAGGGGGGGGTACCTGCTGAGGTATGGGAGTCGGATTTCCTGTTCCAGGGAGTCTGCTGAAGTTAGGGGATGGATTCGCTGGGGAGCTAGTGGATCAGAAACAAGGGGGTTGGATCACTTTGCTGTTACCATTTCGGTGGTTCCAGCAGTGAATGGATTGTGACTTTGGGCCCTATTGCACTAACACATCATGTCAGACCCAAACACCAATTCATTGCCCTTTCATGGTGTTTATCTTTGATAAGACCCTCTCTCCTGTTTTAAAGCCATTGGGGCTGTTATTCCAGGGGAATGCAGCCACCCCTTCCCTGACTGGGTGCAGCGAGACTCGGTCTGGCACTGTGTGTTTTCGCTCCCCTGATTACCTCTGTGTTCAGTGACTACTCGGCTTCTTCTGAGAAGAAAGAAAACCTGTGGTATTAGAGAGCATCAGGCCTCTGCTGCATTCCCTCTTTTACCAGCAGGAGGCCCCTCCATCACCTCTTCACAGCTCCCCAAACCATTCTGAACTGGCAACATCCCCATCACAAGACTCACAGGATCTCATCTCAGTAGTGCACGGATGGGTCAGGTTAATCCAGCTTTCAGTATTTCAGAGGCTTCCAGAACCCAGCATTATTCACCGGGTCCCTGTGGTGCCTGGGAGCCTTTTCAGTCCTCAGACAACCGGTATGGTCATCATAGGTCAGTGCCGGTCTCTGCCATTGGTGTTCAGGGAAAAGATGAACCTTAACTAAGTGTTGAAATCTCATGTATGTTTACAGAGCTGCTAAAGCTATTTGGAAGGTATTTATTGACCAAACAGGGAAGCTCTCGCTGAGCAAGAAAAACGTTTGCACTCCCTTTCCGGGACCATTCCCTCTATTTGAGGGTTGGGGGGAGAGTGAGGTGGGCAGAAAGTGCTGTTTTAAAACCCCCTGTTTTAAAGAGGAAACAGGGTGATAGGAGAAACCTTTTGATCTAAGCCCATGGGGAAACTGCATGCATCCTTCATCCTGGCTTCCCACAAGGGTTCATCAGCTTCACCCTACTGCACGATAACTCATTAAAAAGCCCCGATACGTCATTAATAAAACTGTGTCTAAGCAACCAGTCCTGCTGTGCAGAACTCCAGAACCCAGGGTAGCCTGGTGGCTCTGTTTAATGGCAGGAATTTGTTGATGATGGAAGTGGGAGAGAAGCTTTCTTCTTAGAAAGTTAAAATCTACTATGGTCTACAAGAGTCTTTTAACTTACAAAATACCTTCATATCCAAACTCAGCAGAATCAGTCTATTGTCTAGGGCTTTGCCCTTTTTTTTAAAACCAGAAACAGACTTCTGTTTGATGCCGCTATAAAATGCCCCCATATTACAGACTCTTAGCTGTGGAATTCCTACACTGTGAGGAGAAATCCACGTTTCCCAGAATGTCATCCCCATTGAAGAAAAGAAGAGTAGGGGCCAGGGCCCTGTGTGCTGGGTGCTGTACAAACAGAGAACAAAGAGATGGTGTAAAATGCTATCAAATCAGAACACCAGCTTTTTTTACACCTGCTCTTCTTTAATGTAAGATTTCAGAAGGTGTATGGTAATGCTGAATTGTGTATGTCCCAGAGGCTTGTGTCTAGTCTTACAACTTTGTATAGGATGAATTCCCCTTTCTCTACTGTGAAGTACTTAGCTTTTGGAAATGCAGGAGTTTTAACTTATTAACACTAAACATTTTTAACTGGCCCAGTAGTTGAGACCAAAATGTGACCTTAAAATTATTAGGGTCAGGGGGAAGAATGTCCTCTAGATTCAAAGCAACTTTCTTTTTTAATAGTTTATTTCTTGCTGAGCAACAAAAAGTTGCTTTCTTTATATAGGCTGTCCAAAAAAGAGCAGTGCGTTGTGTTCCCTTTGCTGACTCTGAGGCAGCTGTTAGCCAGCATTATGCTGACAGCATGAATGATTCTGGAACCCAGACAAGATCGGTTGTGTTAATATCATCCTCCATTGCAAACACAGAGTGAGAATGAATGGGTAGAGATAAATGAGTAAGAGATTTAATATCAGGAGGGCATTACAATAAAGTGTAGTGTTAGAATAGAGACGGGTGTGTGCAAGATTTAGGGATATGGGAAAGTAGCAAGCTAAGCTCACTCCTACAGACTGACTACTTATGGGCCTGTATTGTGGGAAGGGCCTGATACACTGCTGGAGCAGTGTGCTAGCTTGAAAAGAAAGAAAGTCCATTCCTGTCTTGCTCAGACAGTGGTGGGCAGGCAGTGATAACACTTAGCACTTATCTAGCGCTTTATATTTTCAAAGCACTTTACAAACATCAGTGAAGGAATTGCCTCAGTCCCTGCTGGCTAGATCAGTGTTAGGATACAGGGCTGTTGCTTGTCTCAATCTATCTGCTGTTGTTAGGGGGAGCCTGTGCCCTAGATGGGGAGATTACATGAAATTAGGAGCCAGATCTCATAAATTAGGGGTTTGGATTGCCGCTCTGGGCCTTGTCGAACATTATACTTAGGACATGTTAACTGTGCTTAAACCATGATCCACCTCATGTTAAAGCAGTAAAACTTGCCAAGTGCATTCATATTGTAGGAAAGTTAGGACTTTTTGTAGAAGTATCTCCAGGTCGTATTAAGTAGCATGTCATCCTGCTGATTGGGTCCCAGCCCTGGGACCACACCAGATTCTCCAACCAGTTCTGGTGTAGTCCTGGGGCTGAGACCAACAATCAGCTGATTGTTGGTCCCAACTCTGGGACTGCACTGGAATCTCAAACTGATTCTGGTCCTGAGGCACTGGCAGGATCCAGTGCCGGGGTGATGCCCTCCCCTGGGCTTGATTTTTCTATGCTGTCCTCCACTTCCTGCCAGCGGCAGAGGCAGTTCATGAGAGCTCCCTATAAAGCATGCGGGCTGCAGAGTGTAGTAAGCGTTACCACGTGACAGCTCAGAACACGTTTTAATGTTTAGTATGGCACAGTAATGCTCACTACGATCTAAATAAAACGCATGCTAAGTGTCCATGTGACAAGGTCATCTGTCAGTGAAAGTTTTGTTATTGTGTTATGATTTCCATAGTGACCTGATTTTTGGCTAAGAGGTCACAGCATTGCACTAGGGAATTGACTCTGTTGGGGCACTGATCCATGGTTTCCTGTGGTGAGTGTGTGGGTGTGTATTTGACCGTCTCCATTGTCAGAGCCATTAGAGCTGTATCTGAAAGGGAGACAAATACAGTTTTGCTTCCCATTTTGTGCTTCGTGACTGCTGGGCTTCTTCTGAGTTGCATAGGAATAGGCAATATCTGATGATCCAGGGTTGCCACTGACCACTGGAGAAGGGGAAAAGAGGTATGAAAGAGGCCAGTTAGTAAAGCTGCATACTACAGCAGGAGTAGCTATTTTCTTCTGTCCCCTCTTGAGAAACCAGGATTATTTGCAGTCATTGGCCCTCCCAAAGTAATCCCACACTCTCTGAATGAACGATACCTATGCACAGCTTAAATGTTTCCTTATCTTCACCCCCATCATCTTATGCTTTATAGGAAGCACTTGCAAAACCTAGCCTCTCTTTGCACCTTAAAAGAATGTATCTAATTAGTCAGTTTTAGAATGTAATGCCAAGCCCTTGGCTACCTCCTCCACATGTATGTCACGCTGCAGTTTCCTTTCTCTGCCCCCTTTTTCCACCCCAATGTGCAGTTGTCTCTGAAACGTGTCGCTTTTTCAGGTTCCTTAATTGCTTGGCTGCTGGTTCTTATCCTTCAACTCCTGTGCAGCACTCTTGTGCCTTTCAACATTTGGAAATTCCAGTGAAATCTCAGTGGGGTGTCACACTGTGAGTAGGGCAGTACAGGAGGTGCAATCTGATGTACCTGACTCACTGGACAGCGGCTAAGCAGTTCATAGTGCCAATCAGTTCATTGCCACACCCATGCCTTTCATCCCAGATGGGGCAATTGGTACTGCAGTGTCCTTCTGATGAAGGATTTGAGTGGAGGGCACCTAGATACTGGAGCTCAGAGACTGGGTTCCGTGCTCCTTAAAATAGAATATGCGAAATTCTGTACATCAACACAGATTTGCCAAAGAGTCCCACAAAGCAGTGCCCTTGGTTTGACACCTTCTAGTTAGCTGAATTATAATGAGACGTCACACACTACATTTTATCTTCAAACCCTCAGCAAACTAATGGAATGCAACCTCTGGAACAACTGAGAACAATGCAGGAAGCTTTAAGCTGTTGTAGAAACACAGCTTTAACTCAGTTCTTTTGAGTCAGAGAGGAGGTCTGGCTCTGCCTTAGAAAACACTGGCAGAGAGGTCTTGTTCTTACTTTTGCATATGCACACAAATGTTAGACTGTGCTGGAGGCGTGATCCCAAACCCATTGCACTCAGTGGAAAGACTCTTTATAGTAATGCATTTAGATCTAGCCCTTAAAGCAGCTTGTCTTTTTAGCATGTGATAGCTTTTTTTAACATGATAGCTTTTTGGTTTTTGGCAGGTACTCTCTGTGTCCCAGTTGCAGATCAGTTCCCTCCTGTGTTATGTACTATACAAACGTAGAGCCAAATGACAGTCCCTACCCCAAGGTTTTACATCTCCCCTCCTTCTCTGGGGTGCTACACTGTCAGTTTGGGACCATCTCTTTCTCTTGCCACTCTTTGCTTCCCTTTTCTTTCTTGGTTCTCCAGAAGCTTAAGTTACCTCATCATGAGGTGCCAGTGCCCCAATCCACATTCTTGGGCCATCCCATATGCCTGGTGCTGACTCCATCCCACCCATCTGACCTCTGTCTGGGATTCCTAACTCCTACACCTCTTGCCCACCCTCTCCCCTTGTTAGATTCCCATCCTGAAAAGTCTTGCTTTCAATGCCCAGAACTTTGCAATATTGGCTCTGAGTATTTGACATTTAAGCCATTGCTTCTGCCTCTTCCTGATTTGGACCCTGTTTAAATTCACAACTCCTTTTTCTTTCTCTTGTAACTTTATTTGGAAGAGAATGGTAGTTATATCAGATATGATGTTCTCCCCACATGATGATTTAAATTGCAAAAACATGCCTGAGGGTAGAAATACAAATGATGATGTGTTCCACAGGCTTCCATTTCTAAGCCCATCAGCTATTAGTAGCATTAATTTGTATTATAATAGCATCTAAGGTCCCAATCTGCAATTAGACATTAAATACAAATATTTACTTAATCCAGAAAGAACAGAGGAGTGTGCATTGTAACCAATAACCAAAGGAGCATGAGAGAGAAGGGAAACCACTAAACATGACAAAATGGATATGAAATAGATGCTGCTGTGGGTTTTTTTCCCAGAAGCAACCTGGCTTATTTCCTTCCTTCAATCAGTACCTCCTTCAAAGGAAAATATACACAAGAACAAAGAAATTACCTTGCCAGACCAGTGCTCCATCTAGCCTAGTGCCCCATCTCTGACACTGGGAGTGGGCACTGGATGGCTGCAACTGCTTCAGAGGAGTGTGCAAGAAACACTAGAGCAGGCATTTACTGACATATTGGGAAGTTACTTGCTTATCCCCTCCTCTCAGGTCTGACTCGTCCTGAAACATAGAGCTCTTTTTCTTATTGCTCCTTTTGGACTTTTTTCTGTCATCTAACAGAACTCCAAATGTTCTCATTCAAGTAAATGCCCATTCTTCTTTTGAATTCTGTGAAGTTCTTGGACCCTGTCATACCTTGTAGCAAGAAGTTCTGCAGGCTAAATTAATGTTGTATAAAAAAAGGATTTTATTTATATCCTTCTAAATTTGTTCACTCTGACGGTGTTAATGAACATCTTATACTTGTTACAAGGGACGAACAGGAATGCCTTCTCCCAACTTTTAACAGTTCGGTATGTCATGTCCCCTTCTGATTTGCCTTATGTTTAAACTGAAGCAGCCTGATTTATTGAAATCTATCAGTATGGAAGTGTCTTCATGCCTCTGGTCATTCCTGCCACATCATTAATTTCTTACTCTATCCTGGGAGTTAGGGTAACTATGAATGCATGCCGGATTCCTGGAAAGCATCCCATTGACTTATAAAATGTTATTCCATAATGTCAGTACCTTTCCCTGTCCCATTCTTTATGCAGTCTACTGTTTTGTGTGCTGTTCTTACTGCCAGTGGGCACTGAGCAGGGGTCTTCATTGAATAACCCACAATAATACCAGTGTCCCTCCTGAATTTTACATCTTAATTCAGAGCCCAGTAAGGTGTATGAGAGGTTCAGAATATTCCTTGTAATGCATATTAGTTTGCAGTAATCCAAGCTAATTTCAAGATAATCGAAAACTGTTACTTTGCTGCATGTGATACAAGATGTTAGTCCTTTCCAGTCATTCTTGGTTAAATCCACTTTAAATTGCTTTCCAGGCTTCCCTAGTTTAGATTGACCAAAAAATATTTTTTTTGTCACCTGCCTACATTGCCCCCAGTTGCTTGCCCTCCTTTCTAGATCACTAATGCATGCTTCACACCCTTCCATTAACAAAACAGAAGTAACAAAATGCACGCTGCCTATGCAAAATGTACCTGATTTCCTCTGCAGGTTTTACGTGTAACACAAACAAGTACAGAAACCTGATGTAGCTCTGAGGGTTGGCCTGAAATAAGAGTACCCTGTGATATTTCCACACCCTCAGCACATATATCATACATATAAGCACCTTGTGTACTTTGACTACTACCTACTATAGCTAAATCCTGACCTTGCTGCTGCATGGTAGGGCAGCCCAGCAAGCTTGGGTTCATCTCCTTGGTCAGCACTGCTTTTTCAGCAGATGACTCTTGCCTTTCAAACTCAACTTCTGTAAGTTTTGAGAGTAGAGAGACAGTGACCCCCACTTCTCAGTGATAGTGGAAATAAATAACTGTTTTCTATAAGCTCCTTTTCTATAAGGCCTTAACAACAAGAGTTACAAGAGCAAAGTTTAAAATAATAAAAGATGGATGAAATGCATTAAGCCTGAGGGTCTAGCATAGAAGAAAAACCCAAAGCAAAATAGACTTTGTATTATAAACTCTACTAACATGCTAGACACAATGCAATAGTACAGTAAGGTACATACATCATTAAATAAGGAAATTGGATATAGTTATTTAACCCCCCTCCCCCCCCCACCAGATACAACACAATTTTTTTCACTGTAGCATGGACAGCTCACCTTAAGCCCATATAAAGGCTAAAAATCCAGTTACTGTTTTTCACAGGCCTCTCTCCTTTGGTCTTCTGTATGTGAGAATGCCTAGCCTGTACTAGAAGCTCTGTACGTCCTTTTCAGCAGCAGTCCTGGAATTAAAAATCTCATCATTGGTTTTCTGAGCTGGAGCAGTTTGTATCCTCTTATTTATGTCCAGATAAAGACTGTCGCTGTAGTCAGCTGCGGAGCTCAACTGACAAAAGGACCACATCTTGACCTTGGGTTCCCTTCTGTGTTGTCCCCTGGGAGACAAGTTATATTTCATCACTAAAGTGGTGACTGACTGATCTTTAACTGTCCTGCTGTGAGGTAGGCAAGGATTTGACAGATGAGGAAAGCAAGAAAGAGATGCTGAGGCTTGCCTACAGTCACAGAGTCAGTCCACGTTAGGATCTGGGAATTCCTGGCTCCCAAGCCTGTATTCAAATCACTAAATCATACTGCTCTCAGACAGACATGCTTGGGAAAATGGATTATTTCAATCTTTCTTTTACTCCATTTCCAAGCCCTAAGACAGTATCTCTCTAGGAACTGAGTCATATACATGCTAGTTATATTTCCTTTCCATCCACGAGGTGCCCTTATGTTACCAAGCTACCACTGGCACATGCTGTCCTGAACAAGGGGAGCAGGGAGTGACATGTTGGGGTCATCCCATGGGATGCCAGTTTCTATTTGATTTGATTAGTGTTTTAGACCCCATTTTTAGAGGAAGGGCTTTGCTGCAATGTAAAATGGTAGGAAACCATATCAGGGCAATGGACAAGCCTGAAACCCAAATACCAATCTCTGTAAATCCCATGTGCAATTCTGATGTGTACCCAGAAAGGAGACCTTTTAATGTATAACCACAGCCTATTAGGTGTCTGCAGCAGAGTATAGTTTTTAGCGTGTAGCTCATGGTGGAGTTGTTGGTTCTCGTGACGGGGTAGTTGTGCTGGAAGCAGCCTGCTGCCTTGCCACCTCTCTCCTGTCTCCACATGCCACTATGGGGGTTTCCTCTTTACCACCTCCCCATTGAATTCATGCCCCTTGCTTTTCTTGGAGTCATTGCACTTTGTTCCCTGAGCAGGAGGAGGGGATGGGGGTACTGAGGGCATGAACTGTGGCCACTGAAGATCATACACTGGAAATTCAGAACAAAACCAGGGAGAGAGCAAATTAAGTTGCCAGTTATATTCTTTTTTCAGAGGAAATTGCAGTACCAGGAGACATCAGGAAATGTACACAGTTGTTTTTAAGCACTTTGTTGTCTCCATTGATGTCGTTTTCCTTGCCTGTTTGGGTTTGTGTTTATGTTGTGCCTTTGCTTCCCATTGGTTTGAGGTGCAAGGACCCTGCTTTGGACAGGACACGAGGCCCACAAGTTTCTTTTCCTCACTTCCGCACATTGCTCCTATACTGGAAAGGGGAGAAAAAGAGGTGTAAGAATTGGGTGCTGATTGCCCCACTCTTGCTGCCACTGGTAGTTCCTGTTTCCCAACCTGTTAGGCTTTGCCAGGTGTTTTCACTGTTCCATGCTCCCTCAGGTTGTCTTAAAGTGCCAATGGCAAAGCCTGACTTGTCTGAAGCTGGTCTCCTCCTTGTGTCCATGAGGTCAGTCATTCTGCTTCATTTGTCTAGTTTGTGATCTTGTCTTGGGCAAGGGCAGGTTCCTGATGCCCCAGAGGAAGGTAACACTGCTTTAACATGTGCCATGTCTAGTTAACTGCAGTTCTTACTTGAACAACCTGCTCAATACCAGCAGGAATCATAATGAGCAAAATGGTCCCTGTTTGAGCGCTGGCCCTGTTCTGCAAGAATTATTGATTAAAGGAACTCACTGTGTCTAAACTGTCCATTGTATTTCTGGTGTAATGAACTGCACTCAGTATGGCTATGGAACCCTGATCTTCCAAAGCCAGGCTCTGATGTTGGTGGGTTGGACATTTTTGCTGCTGTTACCACTGTGTGCGAATCCTCTGCTAACATGACCACATCCTCCTTCATTTTGCCTTTCTCTTATGTAAGAGGTCCTCCCACTCACTGAACCCAGGAGATAGGGAGATGGTTACTGTGCCACTAGCGTGAATGATTTCACAACAGTAAATATAATGGAATGCAGACAAATCCTCCATCAATTTACACTGGGACTCCACTGCTCTGCTGTCCCTCATGGTCTGTGTGAAGTTTTGATGCTCCAAAGGAGAGGTACCTCATACATGGGGTAGAATTAGAAGGGCATCTCCCATCTCTCAAGTAGCATGCATGTTTCTCAGCATTCAGACAGGGTTATTGGCAATTGTCTGCCTGGTCTGTCCTATCGTAATGTACACTTTGTGTGCGGTGTGCATGCAAAGTGATTGCATTAAAGATGTGGTTGATGGACCACTATGACACAGCAGTATGTCTGAGGCACCTGCTGGTGGCCACTGTCTTGTGGAGAAGCGACATCTGCAGCCAAAGCACTCTGGAGGTCTGGACCCTATCCCATGCTGTTGCTATTAAAGCTGGAGAGGTCCCCTCTAAGTCAGAGCCTGAAGCCTCCATTCTGGTGATTAAGGTTTATTAAGCAGCCAAGAGAAAACCAAGCATATGGCTTATCAGTGGTGAGATGCACCACACCATCTGCATGTTAAGAATGCTGGGCATCAGCAGTGGGATGCTGCTGACCTTTCAGTGAGCTTGGCTGTTTGCTGGTGTGTCCTGTCACTAGCTGCCTGCCTGGCCTCCCAGGCAATGCTGCTGTGCATGTGCAGCTGGGAGATCGGAGGTGCCCAGGCGACTGTCTTTATCGTCTGTTCGCTCCCTCTCATTGCACGCCCCTTTCGGTGGAGCAGTGACAACCGAGTCAGTATTACAGAACACCAGTTTTGTTTCCACAGGGCCTTCCGACCTTCATATTTGGAACAGGCTTTGGAAAATAATTGTTGTTCAAAACATTTGTGTATAGTTCTATCCTTTCACCTTCCCCTTCCTTCTCCTTTGATACGAATTAATGCCTCTGTCCATAGGAAAGGCCTACTGCCTACTTCTTTCACGCTTTCGCATAAGTGCTGAGGCAAGTCAGACCAGGGAATTACTAGTGAACACTTTCATTTTTTCCTGACTCTTTACAGTTCAGAGCCTTTGCATTAAGGGAGAAAAGACTTTTTGACCCAACCCAGAGCAGCTCTAACTCCCTGCCATGGGGTTTAGAGAGCCTTCATATGCAATTGCTGGGGAAGAAGCAAAGGAGTCCATGTTCCTGCACTCACGCAAGATGTTACTGCCCCTCCTAGGAATGCACCTGCTGGATCCCTGCTCAGAATTGCCCCAGCATGAAGACAATAAGGAAACTTGAGCACTGTTCATGTGCCATTCTCATGTGACTTTTTGTACCTATGTATGAAAGTTCTAAACTAATATTGCTGTAAAGAAAGATACAAATTAATATAGCATATAAAGATATATGTATATAAAAGTGTCTGTATATTGTGTAGAGCTGCGTGCAAAATGAATGTAGAAGCATGATTGGCATATGTGACTTCCCTCGCCCTGGCCCCTAATGCTGGCTTGGAGAATGAGAGCCATGTGGTTTGATTGCTGTGATGATAACCTAAAGGACTGTGGGAGGATGAGTGTAGAGAGAGCTGGAAATTACATGGAGTTCTGTGTTGCAGTGGTACAGGGAAAGACTGGTTACTATTTTGTCACTAAGGCTGCCTGGGTGGTTTCTACAGAGAGCATTCAGATGCTGCAGCAGCCATCTTGCTGGCCATGTATCTTCCCTCTGTAGCATCCAGGGATCTTCCTCCTAGACGAGCATGAGAACCAGGGTATCTCCCTGTTCTAGGAGATCTTTGGGACCACGTATTTCTTTCTTCCTCCCAGTTCCCTGCACCCACCATGAGGAACACCAAACCCTGTATTTCCCCCTGGAAATCTCCAGCTTCTGTATGTTCCTGTACAACTAAACAGGGCTCACAAAGGAGACTCCTGGCTGATACGGAAAACTGTGTTCCTGAAAGTATAAAATCCAATCTAAATCCAACCTAAATCTTTCTGATAGGAGCTGATGTGAGAATGAAGGCTGCAGGATAGCTTTGGTACTACTGGTTATCAGCTACCTGAAGTCAATTTACTAGGAGAGAGATTAACATGAACAGGCCAGTAGATAAAACAAAAAACTCTTTGAAGTGAGACAGCGCAATGAGAGGAAGCTTAAAGCCCACCCTTGTAGAAGAAGGCTGGAAAGATGCCATCAGAAAGATGCAACAGATTGTAGTCCTTTTGCAAAATGGAAGTGCAAGAAAAGAATGGTGGTCACTGTAAGGTAGTAGCAGTCTCAAGAGGCAAAATATCGTTCCCAAACTGTCTGTGAAGTAGAGTGTGAAGCAATACGTTGCTCTTGGGAACAGTAGTAGATGTGTTCTGGAACAGGGAGAAGAACAGCAATCCAAGCAAGGACATATAATGAAGGAATAGGCTTCCCAGAGAGGTGGTGCTCTCACCTTCCGTGGAAATCTTCAAGAGGAGACTGGATAGGCAGCTGGCTGGGGTCTTATGACCCCTCCCACCCCCTGTGCTCCTTCCTGTCCATGGCAGGGGGTCGGACTCGATGATCTGGCTAGGTCCCTTCCGACTCATTGATTCTATGAAACAAACAAGGTAACAGAGCATTTCTCACCCAGCTGTTAGGAGTACCTGGTCAGGGAGAAACAATGCTAGAAAGAAAACAACATGAATAAACTGAGTTGGGATAGTTAACAC